GATGGTGCGTTCACAATAGGGTTAGAGGTTAGACCTCAGTTCCTTCGACTCTTTAAAGCCCAGGTTGAGACTGACAACCTAAGGAGTATATGCATTTCAACAGGTGTCTGAAAGAATTAATACGATCTCCCCTGCTTTAATCCTTTTCTTATGCTACTTGCAAAACAGCCAGAGACTAGAGCAATGCTTTTGATGCACATAGCTGATCTTTGCAATGGGAACTCACAGCCGGCTCACGAAAGGAATTACAATAGATCGTATCTCTGGACTCAGTGAATGAAAAGGCCCTCACATCCTCTGCTCCTAACACAACGTGGACATCCGAGATCTCAAGCCAGGTCATGCCATACAAAAACATGACACGACTGTTGTGATAACTATCACACACCATTTGAGGGAGGCCTCTGGGAGGCTAGCAGCATCATTTCTGTCACAAAGGTAACACACGGATGCATGCTGCCTGAAAGAGTATGGGCAGCGTAATGTCAGAGAAAAAGACATTGAGGGAACAGAGCCTCTGGTTTTACGTTTGTTCTCCAGAGAAACAGAAGGTCATAGACTTCAGAAATGTCAATTCAGCCAGCACCTTCTGCCAGACAATTCTATACTTTTGCTTAATTGTTATTAAACCAAAATAAAACAAGGCGCACAAGACAAGCTGCAATGCTGGCCAAAAATGTGCCTGATGGGCAAATCCTACTCAGGAGTCTGCTCATGATTTCACATTGAAGTCTGTCAAAACAATAGCTTGCAAGATAACATATCCATGGCAACATGGCAAAATGGTACCTTTTCTGATCAGGTTTAAATAAGTCATTTGATTGTGTGGGAGAGGCAAGTCTGATCACAAGAAGAAGTCAAAGCTTTAAAAACTCAGAATTGCGCATGTTTTAATCGTCTTGTTCAAAAGCTTTGCCAAGCAACTGCTTGTGGCCTGGAAAAACACCATGGTCAGATTTTACTGCAGTTAGTACAGTTCTCCCTCCTGCAAGGCAGAGCTCAGGTCTCAAGGTGGCTGGAAAGATGTTACAATGAGCTGAATCAGCTGCTCTTCAAAGTAACTACGGTACTTAAACACATACATATATATGTGTGTATATACATACATATATATATTTCCCAGCATCTTAGCATACACCCCAAGACCTTAAGAAATTGAATTCATATTTTATCATTTAAGAAATGCTCACCAAAAGTGAGCTCTGTGTGATCCCCAGAGATGAGGAATCTATGCCTCTATGGGGAGAAAGAAAAAATAAAAATAGAAAAAGAAAGAACAAAAGAATATCAATTTTCTTCTGGATTTGAAATATACAAAAGACGTTTAATATGTATGGTGGCCAAGGACTAACCTTCATGCTCTCCTTCCTGAAAAGCCAGCCATGCAGAAAACTAAGGTGTTACTCGGCAGAATTAGCATGAGGCTGCTAAAAGTGAGCTTGACAAACTGAACTCAGAAAGCATTTCCCTATGGGACCACCCACAGGACAGAGGATGAACTAAGATGAGGCTGCTGACACCGGCAGGGGACACTGCTACACCAAGTAATAACTCAAATGCCAGACACGTGGGAGGATACCGAAAACACAAATGGTCTTACAACAGTGGAAGAGGAGACATGTTTTGCAACAAGGCAAAAAAAAGCTTTCAAGTATCACTGGAAAGGCTTTTTTTTTTTTTTTTTTTTTTAAATCTGAACTTGCCATTTACCCCAATGAAGTTTCAAACTGAAAAGTTTGAGTTGTCAGTAAGAAAAATACCCACTTCATTTTTCACCACTTTTCCTACCCCACATGAAAAGAATAGAGCACCAGAGATTTAAAAAAAAAAAAAGAAAAAGAAAAGAAGGCACCAGAACCATCAGAACTGAACACTAGGGAGAAAAAAATATATATTATATATGTTATAATTTTAATATAAAGGGGTTTTATTACATTAAGACTTCTAGAGTGTAAGGAGCCATTAAAACAAATTACAGCTATAAAACTTCATGCTTTCACTAAAAAGTTAGTAACAACAACAATCTCTGATGCTCTGATGGAAAATTTGTGCTTAATTTTCTGTGTCAAGGTAGTCTCCATCCCAAAACACTGTTGTTTCTATCCTTGGCCTGATCCACGCAGGATTCAGGCCCAGCTTGGGAGCCACCCAGTGACATGACAGCTGCCATCATGACGGCTGCACTAGGAACCTCTAGAGCGAACAGCCTCCATCTTGACAGCTCTGACACAGGGCTGTGACATACTTCTCTGTGGCTGAGGCTGAGGGGACCTGTTTCACACATGCTCCCTCCCCACGTCTTACAGGGGCACAGAGACTAGTGGTAAATTACCATTAATCACACACAAGAGCAAACTGAGCCTAACCATATGGGGGACAGTCAGCATTTCTGTGGATTTCTAATATGGAGCAATTCCAACCTCATGACACACAGCCCGTGTCTTGAACTTCTAACACAGAACACACACAGTGCACTCATCCTTATTCTCCCCCTTGGGCATGTTTGGAATGAGGAAGCAATTGTCGCCCCCCAGCCAAACATACAGTGCCAAACCACAGGCACCAGCATCTTCTGTCACTGTTCCTAAAGCTCCATTCCACATGCACTTTTCACTTTTTCCACGACACTGTTACTGGCTTCAGTTACTTCCTGAAATCCTAAAGGGACAATGCTAAACTCAGACCAAGATTAAGGACCATCCAATTACTCTTCATTGAAGCTACAGTAGAACCATGCTGTGTGTCCTTCCACTTATTTTCACTCTACCTTCAGCCCACAGACACCACCCCAGAAGATCCATCCCCCAAGCTGATGAGAGACAACTTGCTGAAAAACTGCCAGCAGGAGAACCCAGAGCCACCCATAACCCAGTAGGTCCACCCAGAGATGCAACACTGAAATAGATTTGTCTCTGTCAAGGCAGCTCACTGGCTTGTTTCTTCTAAACACCCTCTGCCCTGCTTCAAAATGTGATGGACAAGGTGTGCCCTCTCTCCTCTCACACTTACCTCTCCTGTAACCAAATATTTTCCATCTGGAGAGAAAGCAAGTGCTGTAATTGTTTTCCTAAAACAGAGAAAATGACACTGAGAAACATTTCCAATATGTGATTTCGTTTCAATACATCATGACTGGGGAGTAGGCTGGGATGAACTGGAAAGAGGCTAAAATCACACATAATAGCTTGACACAATGGTTTTGCTTTACCAGAGGTCTAACACTTGCCATGGGGATTCCCTGCTGCCCAAGTCTCAAGCAGCATGCCTACAGCACCAGAAAAGCTCCAAAAGTCGAGGTTCATCCTTGTGCCTTTATTCCAGATGCAGGACCATGTCTCAGTCCTGGCTCGATAATGAGGTCATAGTTTTAGGTGGAGAAAAAAAAGTCAGATACCATGGAGTTCTAGTAAGAACTCCTCCACGCCATGCCTGTTAGCAGTCCCTCATGGGACCACAATGTTTATGAGGTGGTACCTCGTCAGCAATAGTACCTCACATTAGAAGGAGCTGGAGTCAAACCGGCAGACAGCCTCTCCCCAAGGCAGCTCTCACTGAGGGGATTTAGCCTGGAGCAACAGCAGCTCCTGCACTTCATTCAAGACATAAAAACCTTGAATTCACCTCCCACAGAAAGCAAACCCAGCTTAAAGCTTCACTCACCTGGAACTGTTTAGAATATGGTGTTGCTTATTTTTTCTAGGGTTGAACAGCACAACAACACACCTAGATGGAGGAAACAGAAGAACAAAAAGAGTTGACGTGACCATGTGTATAAAGAAAACCAAAGAGCTATCCTTGCTGGCAGAGCAGCAGCAAAAGCAGTCCCAAAAAGCTGGTTCATCCCCTAATCTCACAGACTGAGCTGGGGTTAACCAGAAATCACAAAGAAAAAGAGCAGTCTAGAGGGGAATCACAAGTCTCTCCCATGTTGAGGAGTACCATGTGCTAGTGCCATAAATAATTACCTTTCTAGCATCTGGGAGCCCCGAGTCTCTGATTGCTCAAGCTGGACAGAAAGGTTAACCACAAAAGTTTGTGCAACAGCCCTAACGGATTATGTCCCCTGCCATAAAAGTGACCCTATGTACTAGGCACCAAACCAGCATGTCTAGAACAGAGTAAGAAGGTCAGAAAGATGGAAAGAGGGGATTTTTCAGAAAAGCCAGGGGCGGGGG